AACGAGGGATCGTGTAGTGAGCGATGAGCGAACCTCGAGGTCATGGTCACACGACGTCTCGCGAACGCCACGTTTAATCGATCGTTCGATACGTTAACTGTACCGTTTTCTTAATTCTATGCAATCGCGAATCAAAATTTCGCAGATACAATCGCGTCAAAATATTTCAAAATACTACTTATAATACATCGAATTAAAGCTCATTGGATCCTCGTTCATGTTCCGAGTACAAAATAAATCAAGCAATTTTACGACTTAGCAGTTTATTTCAACGAAGGAGGTAATTTTATATTAAGAATTGTGGGTAAATCGTTCGTGTTACTTTTAGCGATACTTTTCTATTTCCGAATCGTGTCAGATTCGACTTTGACGAACAGAAAGATGTGTCCAAAGAATCCTCCAAAGTAGTTGATTTTCGAAATCAAGGTTACGAGATATACATCGAAAAGTAAAGTTAACCACGGTTGAATATTTTCATCGAATCACCTTATGAAATTCTAATCTCCCCTCTAGCCTTTTAATCCTCTTCGGTCTCTCTCCCTCTCGTTCTGACACGCACACTTCAATAATTCAACAGCAGTTTCAAATGTCATATCATTTTTCCGTTATACACCGTGATCATTTTTCAGTTTCGAAGATTCACCTTGAACAAACGTTTCTCGGAGAGGTTCATTTTCCTTGGTTGTAAGTTTATTCCGTTTCCTCTCGTTTTCCATAGATTATCCGGAACGTTGTATTAAGAACGGTATATCGGGAAAACGTGATTGAAAGCTAGGCGTGAACTCTGTTTCGAATCGTGATACGATGATGTCGCCGAGGTTACGGTCACCAGTTTCCTCATGAAAGTTAACTAAATACGATACTGTTTTTCGAGACAGAAGAAAAGTTTTTACCTTTTTATTATTTGCATTCCTTTCGTTCCACTTGTAGCAATGGAACTCAAATACCACTTTATCCGTAAGATTTTTTTGGAAGCCTTCTTCGAAGAAACGATTATTTTCCGAGATAATGTTATTTCTTCTAATGATCACGATACGCTTTTAGTTTGAAACGACGAACAAGGTGCGTTAGTTATAAAAAAAGAAAACGTTGCGCAATATCGATGCGCCAAAAAAAACCTGATATCACTCACGTTGTTATCGCTAGGAACGAATTAGTGTCTTATTACGCGGCGTCGAGTACACGTGTAACTTCCTTGTAATGTTCTCGGTTTTCTGTGTCAGCAAGCATCAAACGTTTCAGAAATATTATCTACGATAAATAATGGTGCACCGTCATTAGCGATCATCGAAGCATAGTCACGCTATCTTCGAATGACCCTGGTCGCTTTTCCATCTAAATCCTTCGCTGAAACATTTCCACTTATTTTCGAATAGTAATCATTTGCTGGTACTATATGTATAGACGATGGAAAAAAGTTGAAGAACAAGCCGAATCGAGAGAAACTAGTAAGAACGGAATAGAACAATAACGAAGCTGTATAGTTGTTTTACAGAAATGGCACCGAATAGATGTTACTGGTTCGATTGCATATAGTCTAATACCGAGCATCTAATTTCCACATTGTTTTAGATAGCGACGACGAACTGCGGAGAAAACTGCGCAGAAAGGAGCGTCTGCGAAAGAAAGAAAAAAAGTAGGAATGCCTTGAATATGGAGCTGTGGTGCAATTTCCCGTTTCCGCCGACCCTGTAGCGAGTTATCTACTTGCCTGCGCAACAACGAAATCTCGTATGCGGTAATACGGTCGTAATTTATTTTAATTCCGGCCACCTGATATTCTGTATCGTCCTCCGATGAATAAAACAGGCGAACACGCCGCCATCAGGAGAAGCGCGATAGATTAATATTTGATTTTTTACCACCGTTCCGTATCGGATCCGTTCCATTACAATGTCTTCTCTATTCGGTGAAACATTTATGGAAATTGGCTTTTTAATCGCTTAACCGATTAAACGCGTTGCCTACATCGGAGAGAACGAAAATCACGACCAGTCGCTTGAAAATGAACTCGATCTGTCGTATACATTAAATGCCGAGATTTCGATCTCTCCATCGGGACTGAAACAGTTGTGTTCGATCGAGAAAATTACGCCCTGATCTTTCGTTGCACGACTTTCCTAATTTTTCAAAGAGAATCGATTTCGAAACGCTTCGAACTGCAATAACGGGTGGCGATGTAGCACGTGGTCCGACGACGCGTAACGATCCAACGCAACGTAATCGTTTTCTTTCTCTTCCGAGGAGAAGACACAGGTGATCGCAAATTGCTTCCAGAGTTGATTTTGTTTATAGGGTATCTTGGTTGATATCTATTCTTCGGTCAGCTCGTTTTGCTTTCGTTGTTGTCTGGATAACACTTGTTTTTCCACTCGGTTGCACCGACGATGATATTCGAGAATGAATGCTATCAACATAATTCAGCGGAAAAAAAGCTCAGTGCCGATTCGCAAGCGTCGCGACGAATCGGGATCGATGGAAACGGGAAATCGGTTGCTCGGCTTGGCCATTCGTGTAAACTCGAGTCTAGGCAAGCCTGTCAACGAGTCGACCTGCATTCTCCTTTTTTCCCTCAAGGCGATTCCCGGTCGTCTACTTGCCAAGACGCGTCTTTCTACGCAGCTACTAGTACACATTTCGTATTCTTCGTCTTTCGACCCCGATCATTGGAATTTTGCTTTTCGATTAACTTTCATTCTATATCTGACTTTCGTTGACGAGCCTACCATACTCTTCATCCCTAACGCAATTGCTTTCGATATGTACATTGAATCCATAAATCCATAGTTTCGAAACTTGAGAATCCCAGAATTTCATCTCGATAACTTTTAAATAAAATTTGAACATAACTTCAAGTCGAAGAACCGAGCGATCTGAAGTGCCGCCAGCATTCAGAGGCTATCGATCAAACGGAATCGAAGAGGCATGTGTTGCTATGAAGAGTTTTGTGTGTTTTCGAGGTTCCAATTCACGAATTTTAAGTAAACAAGAATTTTAAAAAGCATTGTACCGCGACTACGATAACGCTGCAAAGAAAATATCTTCGAGTACGATGCAAGAAAACGATGATTGTCAATCTCCTTTGATTGATAAGAAACATTCCATCGAAACGAGGCTCGACGTTCCAGAGAGTACCGACTTGGATGCTAAAAAATCGGTTAGAATCTCTTTGTTTAATAATCTTCGTTCTTGCGAACAGACAGGGGTAAGTTTTGAAGACGCGGTTAACGTTGTTAAGTTAAATACAATTTGTATTTAACAGATTTAATTTACATTCGTTGTTCACAATGATGCATCATTTTTCAAAGATGCCGGAAGATTCGTCGGCGGATTTCGAAGCTTTGAACAACCAACCTACAGAGCTTTACACAAAAGTGGAGGCAGATAAACAAAAAAATGAAGGTCCATCGTTGGACCAGCAAGCATCCACGACAGAATCGATACCGGAAGTGAATACCGAGGACGACTGGTTGTCGTATCTTGATTGCGACGCGATCTTCGACGTGACTTGCGAAAATTTGTCCTATTATAATTCGACTAAAGCTGAAAAAGATAGCGACAGCGATATGGACGACACGTTAACGTTCGATGACGCCGAAGATTGCGAAACTCTGGTCCGAGACGATAATTTGTCCAACAATTGTTGCAACAATTTGTGCTGCCAAAACGTGGACGATTTTGATCGATCGCCCGATAGAAGTCTTGTTTCTCCGAAGATTTCGACGATAGAGATCAAAATCGAACCTCAAACCGTGTCCGGCAAAGAGGATTCAAAAATCGTGAGCGCGGAAGGTAAAAATGATCAACAGGATGTTAACAACGATAACGGGACAATCGAGGAAAATAGCAACGAGAAAGATCAACAGGATATCGATGGAAATTTGTTGGAACAAGTGAACGAGGAGACAAAGAGTCTCGATAACATAGAACGTGACGATAACGATAACACGACTGAAAAAGAAGAACAACGATCGGACAATTTTGATTTCTCGAGCGATTCTGACGAAGAGCACGAGAAGAAACTGATATATTCCTCTCCCAGTGTCAACATTTCCGCTTACTTTAAATTCAGAGACAACTTGAAGGATCCGAAGTTCGAAGCGGCTTTGAATAGATTGGATCCAAAAATTTCTCGCGATCGAGATGAACCTTTGGTGTTGGAAGAAGTCGAAGAAACGTCGACGGAAATCGAAACGAGTCAGAAAGAAGAAGCTTCGATAGATCCTGTACCAGAGACAGGATCGAAGCATGTGGAGCCAAGTTCTCCAGAAGAGTATCTAGAAAAATTGGCAGAGATCACGGAATCAAATTGTCCGAAAACCGAGGAACAAGTTCAAGAAAGACTGAAAAGAATCGCCGAAGGCAAAGCGGAAATAGAAAACAGGAAGAACGAGGCCTTAAAAGATCTATCGATGGAGTTCAACGAGGTTGAGAGACTCGTCGCAGAGCAGAAAGCAGTCGAGACAAACGATTTGTCCTCCAATAATGAATTTCCTGAAGAGTCCGATAACGAATCCGAAGGAAGTTTAAAGCCTGGCGATATCGAAATGCCTTTGACGAAAGATCAGGTAGCCGAGAATTTCAAATTTAAAGCAGAGGAAGACGAAAAACGTCGAACAGAAAAGTTACAAGAATGTCTGAGAGTTATTCCGATAGAGGATATGGAACCAGCAGAAGAAGCAGTCGAAGACGAAACCGACTCGAAGGCGAAACGTGAAGCGGTTCAAGGGAACAAATCCGAAGAAACAATTGGGTCAGACATTTCTAACAATTTAGAAGAAACTTCGAGTACTATCGAGGAGTCGAAGGAAGCGGATAAAACGATGATCACTGGAATTGTCGAGGACATCATCTCCGAGACGGAAGATTCTTTATTTTGGCATTTTCTCAAGGACAGGGAAGAGAGGACGTACATCAAAGGAAAAGTGTACGAATTCGACGAGAAGAGACACGGTGTCAGGTAAAGTAGTGCGAGCATACAATACGTTCCAAAGCGTTGAAGCAAATGATTTGAAATTTCAGAATGACCGAGGATTACCTGAAGAAACAATGCAAGCTGCAAAAGCTCTATCAGACACCGCACTTGAATGACGTACTCTATCTGCATTACAAAGGTTAATATGTTCAGAAATAAAATGAACATTCCTATATCGTTTACCAGAAATTATAATCCTGTATTACATAAACTTTGCGCATACTCTTACATATAAGTAACGTAAAGTCGTAGGGAATTTATGAAGTATCTAACGAGCGTCTCGACGTTAGCAAAAATAATAAAAGGAGAAAAAATTAGAGGTTACATTTTTCAGGTTTCTCTTTCATCGAGAATCTAGAAAAGTACACGGGTTTGAAGTGTTTGTGGTTGCAGAACAACGGGATCCGCGAGATTGCCAATGTGGAAAATCAAAGCGAATTAAGGTGTCTGTACCTTCAGAACAATCTGATCGGCAAAATCGAGAATCTTGATTATCAGACGAAGCTCGACACCCTGAATCTCTCTCACAACACTATAAGGAGGATCGAGAATCTCGGTGAATCTCGTACTAGTCGATGTTGGTATCCTTGATGACCTTGACCTTGACGTGCCTCTGCTTTCAGATAGCCTCAAGTTCCTGAATACTCTAAACCTGTCGCACAACTACCTACAAGACACCGCTGACATTGAACATCTCCGATTGCTGGACAGTCTCTCGGTACTGGATATTTCTCACAACAGGATAGACACCGAGCAAGTTGTTAATGTGAGTCCGTTATGTTTCCTTAATCGTGTGCCTCGGGCGTATACAGCTCCGACGGTTGTTTCAGCCACTCGGAACGCTTCGGGTGTGATGTAATTTTCGTATTTTCACCACGGTGGAAGCACGTTTTGTAACAACGCGTTCCTTACGATTTTTACGACTAAGGAGTTCAATTTCACGTCTCGGAATGTTTCAACTTTATCATCTCCGATTTAGAGACGACTATGCCACGAAACTTATCGATGATTTCGAAAACAAATGAACGTAGAAACCAAGTAGAAAATTCGACAGATTCTAGGGGACATGAAGGAATTACGAGTAGTACGTCTGGTAGGCAATCCAGTTTTGAAGATGATCAAGCTGTATCGCAAGACCATGATCCTAAAATGCAAGAATCTGAGGTACCTCGACGACAGACCAGTGTTTCCGAAAGATCGCGCGTGCGCCGAAGCATGGTAAATTACAATCAATCTCTTTGAGCCTATTTGGAAGCACGATAGGTTTTAATTAACGAAACTGTCGCGAAGACAGGATGCGAGGAGGGCCCGAGGAAGAAGCTGCTGAAAGGAAACGCTGGAACGACGCGGAGCAGAAGAAAATCAATGACAGCGTACAAGGTGTGTAAAAATCGAAAGGTGAAAAATACGAAACGATCGACTCTTGAATCGCGTTTTACCAGTTTCGACTTTAACACTAAAACTACCAAAACGGTCAAATGACCGCTCCACAACTTTCCAACTATAAGTTACACAATTTGTTAAGCTGTTCTTCTTGAAATCTGCGTTGATTTTCATCAAGATAGACAACTTCATTTTAATGCCAAATGAAGTACATGTTATACGCCGATAGGTTCAGTGTTAAGAACCGGCCATTTTGTACGAACATCGATGAAATACGGTCATGTAGTGACTTTCATCGAAGCTTATGCTTCGAATTGTTGGGACGCGAGTACCATTTTGGGGTACTTTTCGTCAAATCGTATCGGATGTTCGGTAGGCGAGCTTCTAATGGAATCCACTTACTTTAGCAATCTCGAAGAAGCGAACGAATGATTACCAAAATGGTTTGAAGAAGTAAAAAATAACCGGTAGACTAGTCAAAGCTTCGAGCATAGTATTTATTTCCGTCCATAATCGTTCGGAGTCGATGTTTGAAGCGTCTGCTTAGAAAATTGCAAACCGATCTAATCTGTTATCCGTTCAATCGATCGCTAATTACCTGCGGACCTGCGCCCGCCCTCGAAAGCCCTGATAAACAAAAGGAAGCTGTACAAACCGGTCGGGACGTCCGAAAAGGAGGCGGAGGATAAGAAGAAGACGAAGGAGGACGAAGAAGAAGTAGCTGCCACGAGCAAGCTCGTGTGCACGAGCAACGAACTGGTAAGAACTAGTTTTGTCAAGGTCTGGTACAGAATTCGTGCTTCGAATAATATCACCCATCGGTCCCATCCACTATTTGATCATTCACCACGCGATACCCCCCGTTGATGTTGTTCTTCTCGATCCAACGTTCAAGCTCCAGCTGGAGAGGAAGAAAAAGTCAGGTGTCTCATCCCCTTGCAGCTCCTCCGGAAGACAGGATGCGAGGAGGGCCCGAGGAAGAAGCTGCTGAAAGGAAACGCTGGAACGACGCGGAGCAGAAGAAAATCAATGACAGCGTACAAGGTGTGTAAAAATCGAAAGGTGAAAAATACGAAACGATCGACTCTTGAATCGCGTTTTACCAGTTTCGACTTTAACACTAAAACTACCAAAACGGTCAAATGACCGCTCCACAACTTTCCAACTATAAGTTACACAATTTGTTAAGCTGTTCTTCTTGAAATCTGCGTTGATTTTCATCAAGATAGACAACTTCATTTTAATGCCAAATGAAGTACATGTTATACGCCGATAGGTTCAGTGTTAAGAACCGGCCATTTTGTACGAACATCGATGAAATACGGTCATGTAGTGACTTTCATCGAAGCTTATGCTTCGAATTGTTGGGACGCGAGTACCATTTTGGGGTACTTTTCGTCAAATCGTATCGGATGTTCGGTAGGCGAGCTTCTAATGGAATCCACTTACTTTAGCAATCTCGAAGAAGCGAACGAATGATTACCAAAATGGTTTGAAGAAGTAAAAAATAACCGGTAGACTAGTCAAAGCTTCGAGCATAGTATTTATTTCCGTCCATAATCGTTCGGAGTCGATGTTTGAAGCGTCTGCTTAGAAAATTGCAAACCGATCTAATCTGTTATCCGTTCAATCGATCGCTAATTACCTGCGGACCTGCGCCCGCCCTCGAAAGCCCTGATAAACAAAAGGAAGCTGTACAAACCGGTCGGGACGTCCGAAAAGGAGGCGGAGGATAAGAAGAAGACGAAGGAGGACGAAGAAGAAGTAGCTGCCACGAGCAAGCTCGTGTGCACGAGCAACGAACTGGTAAGAACTAGTTTTGTCAAGGTCTGGTACAGAATTCGTGCTTCGAATAATATCACCCATCGGTCCCATCCACTATTTGATCATTCACCACGCGATACCCCCCGTTGATGTTGTTCTTCTCGATCCAACGTTCAAGCTCCAGCTGGAGAGGAAGAAAAAGTCAGGTGTCTCATCCCCTTGCAGCTCCTCCGCGTCCTCGTCGGACGACGAGGAGGTGGAGAACGACGGAACCGTGCAAAAAGGAATCGAGAAAAGCGACGGAATCGGGCCAATGGCGGAGGAAGAAAGAAAAACCCCCGTCGACCAAACGGAGCTTATATTGCCCTGGAAAACTCAGGTATTTACGCTACTTTTTTTCGAACGTTTCAAACCTCTTCCGATACGAACAAAATTCACTGCGACTCGGAGGGAATTTTCACATCTGTTAAATGCACAGTAAAGTATAGATCATTTCGTATTATTTAGAAATCGCAAAGTAGAGAGCCTACGGTATTAGTAGAAGATATAACAGAAGAGAAGGAGTACGTGGCAGGCGATGGAGAGAGGAAGAGGCTGGCCAAGGAAATTTTGGACGGGAGAAGAAGCATGGACGATCCACCGGGTGGTTATGCTTTGGAAAGAGAACTGGCCCATTACGAGAAACTTGTCCTGGAGACGAGCAACGAGACCGCAATTACTTGTAAGTACCGGTAGGGGGACCACGGCGATAGTAAATAATGTAGCAATGCCGAATACGATACGTGCAGACGTCGATTTAACCCTTCTTTGAGCCGCCTATTTCTTCTTATTCTTCGTTTCAGCTGCCGAGGAAAAAAAATCCTTTCAAAGTACCTCCGTTTCTTGCGATATTCTGGAATCGAAGAAAACCAAAAATAACGAGGAAGACGAACGTTTTTACCAGGATATCATGGACAATTACCGAAGAAAAGATGATGCACATCCTCTGAGCAGCCAACTAAGTAGCATCAGACAGGACATGAAGGGATTCTGTGCGGACATGGACAAGTTTGTCCAGGATAATAAAATCGTCTTGGAGAACGGCGACGTGAAAGGGTTCTGGGGTCAGAAGATGCGAAAAGAGCCGCACGAAAATAACGAACAAACAGACTCGGCCACCAAGGAAGAAAAAATTGAATGGTGGAACACGAAGGAAAGAAAATTAAAGGTTCAGGAAATCTTGAAGAAGCGAGAAGAAGAAACGAAGAAAAAACCAGAAGAACAGAAGGTTACGAAGAAGATCGAAATCCTTGAAGCCGACGATAAAAAAATCACTAAAGAAAAGGAAGAAATAGAACTGTCGTCCTCCGATAGTGTCTACGATCTACTAAATTTAAAAACGTGTCAAAAAATTCTTTTAAAAGACGTGCAGACCTATCCCGAAAACGAGGACAGAATATTTGACGAACCTACGCAACAAGAAGATCCTTCTTCCGGTATCTTTAGCTCTCTGTTCAAAGAACTGAACAGCAAAAGTCGAGTGAATGCGGACTTAAGAAAATCGAAAGCAGGTAGCCATTGCGAATTGCCAGTCATAGAGGAATCGGAAGAAGTGAACGAAGACGCTCAACGTAAGAAGGTACCAAAGAAATTTGTTAAAAGAGAGGTTGACGACGCGTCGAGTAATTCGACCGATAACGAATCGGATGTCGATTCCATAGTAACCGTGATCGATCTTTACGATAAATCGACGAAAGGACCAAGTTCCGATCAAAAACAGAATTCCGACACTGTTACGAATACGACGGAAAAAAGTGAACGTAAAGTTTCGGAACAGAATACTCGGCGATCAAAGGTTGAAAGCTCGAATAAAAGTTCCCTGAAATCGTGTAAAAGGACTGGCGATAACGACTCCGACGATGTTGCTATAAAAAGGTCTCATTTAATCGAGGAAATTGATTCTGAAAAGGAAAAGATTGGTTACGACGTGGCTGAAAGATGTAGACGACACGTGATGAAAGAGGCGAAGGCTTTCATGAAAAAGAAATCACCTCTGATCGATCAGTACATAGAAGATTTTATAACCAACAGAAAACCTGGAGACAATTCTATACCTAGAAATTACGAGCAAATGGACTTTCTGGATTTGTCTTTTGTAAGGTCTGAACCTTCGAAAAAGTCTAACGAGACGAGGAAAGGCGTGAATCTTTATCAAGATTTTTGCGAACATTTGGATCGGTTGAACAACGACAGGAAACTTTTGATCGAGCCAGACTTCGCGAAAAGCAAGAAAATGGATCTCGAGGAAAAGAAAGGCGACGTTCTATCGTCAAGGGAAACCAAACAGTCGAAGAAGGAACAAACACAGCCATTGATCGAGGTGATTGAGAAAAATCCAAGAAATCTAAAGGACGTCGAACAGCCTGAAGAACGACCACCTGTTGACCCTGACGATCCTACGATGGACGCTGCGTTAAAAGACAAGATATTGAAGAGCATAAATGCTCCAAAAAGCGAGGAGCAAATGGAGAGAGGGAAGAGGTCGGCTGAAAAATTGATGAAGGTGTCTAGGGAAGCTATGGCAAAAAGAAAATCGATGCTCGATCAATCGTCTAGCAGTTGCATTCAGCAATTAGTAATTTTAATTCGTTTCAATCGAATATTTCGTATAATTTTATGTTGCATTTTAATAACCCTACCTCTTCTTTTCAGGAATTCGACGAAAGCAGAATATACTTCAAAAATCTACTGAGCGAGAATTTTGCGAACATCGATCGGTCGGAAAAAATAGAAAATGTCGTGGAAAGTAACTCGGAAACTGAAGAACAAGCTACTGTAAATTCGAACGACAACCAAAAGGAAAGCGGAAAATCGAGAAAAAGTCTAGAATTGCAGGTCATTCAACAAAACTAAAGATACTTCGTACAAAAACTTTAAAGTTAGAAACTGATTGAATTATATTTAAATTTGTAATAGAACAAACAAGTGTTAACAAAAGATTAATGTTGTCAAAAGAACACGCGTGGATGAGTATCATAGGTTCCTTAAGTTAAGTTGCACCTCTGTATTCTTCTTCCTTGTATTCGAATAAACGTGTTAAAACCGAAGGGGTAAGGGCACATGGTATGCCCTGATCTGCTTTCAGAGTATTCGGTTGTAAAAATAATTCGCGAGATACTTGAAATTAAAAAGAAATTTCGCCTTTTAGACGAAAGATGGCAAAATAGAGTCGATAGTCTTCTACTACGTACACTTTATTTTTCATTTTCTTGTCCACACTCACATCAATTATATAATAATAGTAATGATGATGGCGGTGATCCGGTGAACCGTAATTAATAGTAAGAATAATTAATCCGTAATTATGCGTAATGACAATCGGCTGCTTGCAAACGAAACAACAGTCTCCGACGTTCTTACGTTCTCGTCGTTCCCGAGGACAAATCGGGCCACGAAAATCCACCCTTCGAATATCCCGTGTCCTCGCAAAAGCTTGGCAAAAAGCTCGTGATACTTTTATACGTATATATAGGATGATATCGGAATGGAATTTTTCTTCTCCCTTTTCTTTTATCGTAACGTTCTCGTCGAACCTTGTTTATTACACGTTCAACCGTTTTTTATATTTCCTTTCATCAAAGTTCGTCTCTTGTTTTCATTTTCTTCTATTATTTTTTTTCATTTCTATTCGACCATTTCCCTTTCCGTACGTTCAGCTCGTTTATTTTATATAATAATACACGCCAGACGAATGTCGTTCTCGCGTGTGCTCTTAAAAACTATCTTATACTGTTCTCTCTCTCTCTCTCTCTCGTTCTCTCTTTTTCTCTGGCTCATCGCAGGAAGTAAAGAAACGTACAGATACATTATACTTCACTGTTTCTATAATTATTACAATAATAGATTTATAAATTGTCCACTTTCCCTCTCCCATGCACACTAATTTCCCTGGCGTCCCTTTCACGCGACATCAAGCAAAACAAAAATCGAACATTCGCACACACGTTAGTCGCAGAGTTTTTCGTACACGATTATCACACGCTCACTCATTCGTTTGTTCCCTAATTTTAAGTTATCCTCTTGAACTATACCGACCATCGAGGAAATGGTCATCGACGATCAGAGTCGAATTAGAAATCGGCTATCAAAGGGAATGGATATCGTAAAGTTATTTTGAAATCGCCGACAATATTTTCATTGGTACATCATCGACAGACGTATCTACGTAGAAAATAAATTTTGAAAGCTGATCTTTCCGAGTGTTCTAAACATTGAACAGAATTGCACATAAATATAGTAAGTTACCCAAGGCAAATAACCGAATAGGAAATTACCACGTACAATGTAAATATAGATATATCGATGTAAAAACCGATGAATACAACGTAGTCGATAATGAAAGGATGAAAATATTGCTGGTGATTCCAACATGAACTGGATATCGTTTCCATTCCAGCATCGATTCAAGGGATAAAAAAAAGACAGAATCTCGTGATCGCCGATCAACACTTCCTTGGCCACATTTGTGTATACATACGTTTATCTCTTTGGATTTAAACCTTCGCTTATTATATCGTATCGTTATAGTGTCGGTTGCTCTGTTGCTTCCATCGCGGTTAATTAGTTTAATTGTTTAATGCATGACAGCCCTTACACGTTACGTTACAGAGAGAGAGTGTGTACCTTAACGACTAATGCTTGTAGTATTAAAAGGGGTTCAGGTTATCGAACAAAATCAAAAGAAAAATCTCAAAAGCTTGCCGCTATATTCTTCCTTTTCTATCTCATGCTCGATTTTATTCTCGCGATCCAGAAAGGTAAAATTAATCTGCTAACCGGAACTGTTCGAATAAAATGAAACGATTCGCAAGAAGCAAGAGGTGCACCGAGCCTTTCGTCCAACACGTTCGTTGTGGACCGAGGGTGGTGCACGTATCGTAGCGTTAGCATTGCTCCGAATCGAGGATAGTTATTCGCTGCGCGAAAGAAATAAAATTGTCATCGACATTAACGGTTTCGAGTGACACGAATTCGAGTCGTACGCGTATCGCAAGATATTAACGCATCGTTTGTCGAACGATTAAAAGAAATAATATTAACCGAGTACAACGCGAATCCGCGTTTCGCGCAGATCGAAATCGATTAAAATTTAGTGACCACAATGAACGCGTCAACTGGTCTTACGAAGGACTATATTTTCAGACAAGTTTCACGCGTTTCTCCGGTTAACAGGTTAAAATGAAAAAGAAATATAAATAACAAAGTTTAGTCTATCAGGAACGCGAAAACTGTGTCGAATTTGCAATCATGTCTTTGGGAAGAAACGAATATCGGAAATCGATCGTCGGGTTGTGCTGGCAATAATGATTCGAACTCTGTTCGTTCGATCGCTTTTATCAGTCTTCTTTGATTCTAGTCCGAGAAAAATTAACGTCGATACCGTTGATTCTTCGCGTACTCTTGATCCCTGTTTTTTTTTAGACGAGCGTGTTCGCGCGTTTTTATTGTGCAAAATTGTGTACGATTTTTCCCAAGTCGCCATTCTTCCGATTCCTAATCGCAACTTTCTCTCTTCGTGTTTCCTCTGGTGAACGTGTCTCGTCTTTGTACTACGATCCTTACTCACTTTTTTTATGCTTTTTCTTTTTTTTTCTGTTTTCTTTTTTCTTTAAGGAGGATTGTCATCGTGCGTTGGTGTTATCGCGTGCGAAACATTCAACGAAATGTTCCGAAAAGAACTATAGTTTATCAAAACACGTAACGATAATATAAATGCTTCCCGAAAGATATGTCACGACATACTGTCGAATCACGCTCCAAATAGTAAATATACTTTTGCTAAATAGTAAATATATCTTTGTAAACAAAAAGGTAAAGATGCGTTCGAGAGCTTCCCGATGTGCAAACAGGTTATTAAAATAGAGCCATCATTGTTGCGGAAACATTTTAAAAAGAGTTTGTACTATGGTCCAAGGATGATCGAGAATCTGACAAATTTTACTACGATACTTTAAAATCGATGCTAAAAGCGACACGTATAAACTAATCGGAATGCACGAAACGAACGTTTCTATCTTTTACCTGGGAACTAACGGACAAATGAAAATAATACAGGAACATCGTGTGCGCAGTGTGTTGCAATGATTTCACAGAATGATCAGCATGATTGCAAATTCGATCGAGTATGGGGGAAAAGTAAAGATCAGAGATTATTTCGCGGCTAAAAGTCGTCATAGACCCTCGAAAGAACATTCTTCCCACCGAATATTATCGATCACCGTAGAATCGATGAAAGACAGCTCAGATGAATTTCGATGAAGCTCGTCAGACGATTTCCAGAGAAAGGCAAATTTCGAAGATATCGTTTGCGTCGAGCGAAGCATTCAATATCGCAAAAATTTTAGAAATCTGCGTTTTCGCTAAAAATTCGTTTATAATTCAAATAAAACTACCCTTCCAAGAATCGAAGAACACGTTGTTCTCTCTGATAGACTCTCCATGTTCTTCGACCCTGTTTCGTGTCGCAATTATCTTGCGATTCGAAAATCGAAAGCAACCAATTGTTATTCCCTCAAGAGAGAAAGAGTCTAAAACGAAATTGTATAAAGTATATTCGTCGTAGAGCGCCTACGAGAACAGATACCGTGAACAATTATCATGAAAAACGTTATCTGGTAAACAGTGTTAAAATCTTAAGATAAACAATGTAAGACTATTCGCAACAGTATCGATAATAGAAACGGATCTTACTAATAGGACGCGTGAGCGATGCATATTTCCTGGCCTGTCGAATGCTTCTTCGCCTTCAAATTTAATATTCAGCCCTCGCTGACGAGGTTGTACGAGATCGTAGAAAAGTCGATTATATTCGATATTAAATTTGACGACGACGCACTTTCGTTTGACCATATCCATGAGAAACGCAAGAACCTCTAGTGGACGAGTTAACATCTTATCGATGGATAACGCTGTCCATAGTATGCGATTTCGTATTTAAAAGGAAGATGATTACCCGTTCATGGCAATGCAACCAAAGTTTAAATTACATTACACGCCGCGATAAACGGAAAAAACTGTAAAACGAATACAAATCGAAACAGAATAAATATATTTTACCAACAGAGTTTATAGGTACCATGAAAAAATGTATGAAATTGTAGAAAAGTTACGCAGGTTCCATCGATAGGATATTAATTATATCATCCATCTTATATCGGGTGAAAATTTCAAGATATTTCCTCTGTGACTCTTTAGAATAGACAACGATCGATCGTGTATCATCGAAAATCATATTTCTTAAGAATTTCGTGATTCATTCTTCGAACACGAGTGTTCACGGATTTATGTACATCGTTTGTAATCGGCAAAATGCAACGTGTGTGTATACTTGTGTGCATGTATGTGTTTGGTGAATTAGAACGTTTGCGTGGTACGCGTGACAGAATCGAATAAAAGAAAGGAAGAAAGGAGAAAGAAAAAATTACAATTAAAAGAGGAATTTCGAGTGTTCGATGACTTCAGTCTCGCGTAGAAATCGCGCCGGCTTTCTATCGAACGCATTTTGGTCGATTCTACGCACGATTCTCCTTATTAAACGAGAAACGAGGTGTTTACAAAGGATACACACAGCTATGGCGACACCTAAAGTGTACACGAGAAACATTCATCAGGCGATATCTCCTGTTAACTGCAGAGTTCACTGAATAAACATACTACGTCGCACGTTCATTGTCTAACTCGATTAATGGGATAATTAATGGGGAGGGATTAGCGCGAATGCGTTTAGAGCACGTTCGATTATTAACCCTGGAATGACGCAGTTGGGTCACTTGTTTCAGCGGGGTGTTGCTTAGATCATCGAAAACTCAAATTTTTAAACGTACATTGCTAGAATAATATCTCTAAGTAAAATCGAAAGATTTAAAATTAAATTTAACTCGATGAAAATACTGAGATATAAAAAATTACATTCGAAGCATAAAAACCTTGAAAACGAAAAGAAACTTAATTTAAAATTAGCTAAGACCCGGTTCCGCCGTTCGAGGGTTGAACATTAAACCATACGTCAGGTCGCGTTGACCCGCCTTCGTCGATCGAGAGTCAAAGAAGGCATCTTGCTCTCGAACCAACTTCTTTACGACGTCGTAAGATTTGTCCTTTCATACCGGATTCTCTTTTTTTATTCAAGTTCGTGGGAAGTATCCTGTCCGAAAGGATGTACCGGTGACAATGAAGACCGATGGAGACAAGGATCTCTGTGTCCAGGAGAAATCTACGTCTTTTCCTTTGTTGTTTTTATCGGAGAAGGACAATAAGTTTTGTTTTGTTTTTTGAAGTAAGAGAATATTAATTATCGTTCCTTGGAGCTGGTGAGAAATCTACAACCCTTCTCGTCGTAACTGGAGAACAAGGATTGTTGTTTCTTCGAGTCCATGCGAAATCTATACCTTCTTCCTTGTTATTCGTAGAAGGAGAGTAAGGATTATTTCCCATTTAAATCCATGATAAAAGGTGTTTGTTGGGTTTTGGAGAAGAACAACATCGACTATCTTCCTTTCGTGTCCATGAGAAATCTACGCCATTTTTTTTTGTTTTGTTGCTGTTATTTGGAGAAGGATAACACGGTCTATCTTCCCTACGTTTTCTAAAGGACAATAAAAACGCGGGAATCGCGGATTTCGTGAAAGCAACGTTCACGAACGATGATACTCAAATGATAGCTAATCTAGCCGTCGATAATTTATTATTATTATTGTTGTTGTTGTTATTATTATCATTATATATATATCTGTATATGTATATATATATATATATTTTTCTTTTATATATAAAAAAGTGATGAAATCCTTGTAACTATCTATCATTTAACAACGAAGACGTACTTCTTTTCTGAGTTGTCTTTTGTAAGTTTCCGGATGAATGTACATACACATTTTCTCGAAGTTTTCGTCGTTCTGTTCTTCAGAGTTTTCCATTCTCGTCCTAGCGATTTCCATTTCGAGTGTTCGATTGTATAGAATACACGCGCGGATGTATTATCTATATCGTACTTTTATATTTGCTCGTAACTTAAAAGAGGCAGTATTCCTGATGGTTTTGCTCGTGATCCATCATCGAAAAAGATTTTACCAAAATGAGTCGCGTCGGCACGTCTTTCCTCTATTCTCTTCGTTTTCTTTTTCCTACGCCGTGCACGCGTTTCGCGTTGAAATAGGACCCAATAATATTTTCACGAGATCTTCTTCGTCAACGAGTACGCATCAAATAAACATACACGGGCCTCGGTGATAACGAAATCTTCAAATTTAGCGGTAAAAAATAACCAAAACTGCACCTTTCGTGTTTTTCCAAGTACTTTTATTCGTCTTATACTTTTACGATTTTTAGAAGAAAAAAAAATTAAAAATCGATACGTTACAACGGAATTGTTTAAAAAATCAGTTCCTGTACTCTTGTCCGCGGACAAAAGAATTATCGGAGAATAAAAGAAAGACAAGAAAATTAACGAAAAATAACGAAGTCCTCCAAGTTCCACATTTTTTTGTGGTCTTTCCTTGCGCGTGCCATTTACTATGACTAGAGACATAATAAATCGTTAATTTTGCATGCTATATTTCGTCGACAGTATGTATACGTATATATGTATATTTATATGTATATATATATATGTATATAATATATATTTTTTGTCATACTCGTACAAAGAATAAGAAACCATAATGTTTCGGTGGCTCGAGGCTTCGAAATACAAAAATGGAAAGCCGTCTTCGAGAAGCCACGAAATCGCGAAATATAAAAAGCGCAGATCCTCTGTTTCCTTTTTCCCAATTTTTTGTTTCTTTAACCCTTCTTCCTTCGTCTTGAATAACGTCCTAACGTTTTACGAGAAGGTAAATCTCTTGCCTAAATAATATTGCAGTAGACTTTTGCTATACTTTTTGCCACTTTCGGAAATTTTCCGTCAAAGTTACCGTACATGACAATATAACGAAAGTCTAATGTATAGTGTTTGTACTACGGTTAAATTTCAAGTTTGGTTCTAATTATAATTTGTGCAATTAAGGATTGTAAAATCCGATGTAAGTTGTTCGCAATCAATATAAGGCAAGAAGTTAAAGCTTTGTCTTGTAGAAAGAGATCATGAAAGATTTAACGATAAAATCGAAGGAAGATGGTTTTGTTTTTAAATTGGCGCAAAGAGATCATTTTTTTGTTTGTCTGCCTAACTGGTAAAAGATGTGGAGGCAAGTGTGATATAAGCGAATGTAATAAAAAAAATTTGAATTGAAAAAGAAGAAAAATAAAAATAAAAATAAAGAATCGATGACAAACTTTCGTTTCTTGTTCATTCAGGTAAAACAACAAGGTCTTTTAGAAGGTTTCTCAGTTTACGTACTTGTTCTTGTAGGAAAACAACTGTTGCTTCACGCATTCCGGAAGCCACGCTTCTCGTTCATTCATTCGTTTCAAGAGCAGACTCGACAGTATTCAGAAACAATCCAATATATATGCGTGAAATTTTCTTCAGGCCGTCATAATGATCTCGCAACAGCTCTCTAATTATTCCGATATTATACACAACAACAACAGCAACAGCAATGGTGTCACTGAAAAAACAAAGAAGAATTTAATAGAAAAAAGGAAACGGAAAGACGTAAGCGTGGTAACCGGAAAGCGATAGGACCGTAATCCCGCGGTACTGAACAAGTGGATTCACCGTTATCTCCTTAGATACTTATATATTAAATATTAATAATTATAAATTACAATCATCATTAATAGTAATATTAAACATTATCATTAATATTATTACTTTAAATGCATACACAGTTTAAACACCTAACCTCTGTTTTCGACGAAAAGAGGAGCAATGTATAGGGGGAAGATGAAGAGAAACACAGGAAGTGACGGATGAAGATGAAGGACAGATTCTCGAAGGACAATAAAAAAAGAACACGAAGTAACACGATGGATAACGTACAGATCATCTAGGAAAAAAAGGAAAAGGGCGAGTGACGAGGATGAAAGAGAAAGAGAGAGTTTGGTCTCGCGGTCCGTAGCTTCGATCCGTGATTCTTTGGGTCCTATTTCAAAGGAACTTCTAAGACGACTTATCTCGTCGAGAACACTTGCATTCTTCGTACGTTCGAGGAGTGTTCGGTGCTGGACCGTTGTTAGAGAAAGACGTGGGACTCTGCTTTTGGCGAGAGTTAGGAGGAACTCTTCTCGGTCTCGCTATTCTTTGATTTGTTTTTTATCTAGAGAGGAACAGGGAATAGAGGCTACAAACTAAACGATTACACGTTTACATTAAATAATTCCCTTCTTCCGTTTCGTACTTAAATGCTGGTCATTGAATTTGGGACTTGTTCGTGTTGTTGCCTTTGCTTCGTTAACTCTTATCGCTCGTTTCTTTTTATCTTTTCCTACAACGACGATCCTAATTTCGATGAAAGTTAACTTAAAAAGAGTATCATCAATTTGTTTGCCTTCTTCGGTAGGGTTTCTCGTTTTGATTGGCAAAATGTCCTTCCGCGCTTTCGAGACCTTACGTACATTCTTGCACTCTAACAATCTCCGTTTAGCTCGAACATTCACTCAACATCTCAAGGACAGAACCAAGAACGTAGAAAATGGCCTATATAGCAGTGATCTATACAAAATAAATAACGATAAATCTATATAAAAATTAAAGATATCAGTGCGAACGCGCCCGGTTATAGTCGCAAAAGACAATACGATATTCGCGCCAATTGTATCTTTATCCTTCACGCCTTTTTTCGAAACTAGTCTCCCTCTCGTTGGTAGAAGGGGATGCATGAAATTCGCGGCAAATTCGTGGAAATCGAAACGGAAAATAAACAATAGAAAATGAAAGAAAAACACGATAGAAGAAACGATGTTACTTGATACGTCGGGACTCGTGGGTAACCCATTATGTATTTAATGGCCTTTTGTTTGCGGTACACTTCGCGTTCCTGTGCAAATGTATGTATATGTAGTTTTCTCTATGTAATCGTATTTAATACACGTGCGTACGGTGTGCGTGTAGGTTTTTAATGCAATATGCGAGATTATCGTAACCTTGCCTGTTCGTCGACATATACACGATTCGTACAATAATACGTACTACATAATAGCTATTTCCATGATCGTGTTTGACTTTTGTGCCGTGCACGAGCGACCGTTTTCGTTCTTTCACCCGTTGTTGTGGTACATGCGCGACGCGCTACGTGCCGTGTAGAAGAACAAGAAAACGAGGAGGAAGAAAAAGAAGAATAAAAAGGAATAGATAGAAAAAGAAACACGTGTAAAATCAACCGCCGGAGCAGCCGTTTAATCGGCGCTTCATCGGCAGTGAACGCTCGGAACCTTCTTTGTTCGCAGGATACAACGCTTCCAATGACATCCGAGTTTCAACGCGTTTTTTCGTGGTCGATTCTGAACCTTCGAACTCGAGATCTTCGATGAGCTATCGATAGTTGTGCGACCGACAGCACGTGCTCGTCAAGTGATCCTTGAGACAAGGGGAGGAGAAAGAGGAAGTGCGTGTACGCGTGCACGAGGACCGGAGAGATTTTTGGCTTCGTCTCTGCCTTGGTGCTTCTCTCCGTTCTTTCTTTCGCCACGCTTCCTTTTCGCGTGTCGAGCAAACGATCTTAAACTCATGCTAGAAGCGCTGGTATTCGCGAGTAATTTTGTCGCCAACCTTGCCGCGACGCAAGGCTAAATCGACGCCGCGTCTTCGATAGTCCTTTTTACCACCACAACCCAAAACGTTCTTAAAGTCGCTGCTGCTGCTGCTGCTGTTACTTCCCAGGGTTATCTTGCTGTTCTTGCTCTGGTTGCTGCTGCTACCGATGTTGTTGCAATTATTTTCAGGTTGCCCAAACTTTCTGATCAAAGTCAACTTCGGCGAGGCTGAAGAGTAAGTAGCCTCCGTCGAGGATACGGACACGCCGACTTCGGTGGCTAAATGGTGGTACTTGATGCTTATACTGTATGCTGATTGGCTGCATTTGGTTCTTTGGAGGAACGTCTTGGGATGAACCCCAAGTTAGTTCCAAATACGAAGGAACGAGTCCCATGAACCCGTCGCTACCGCCATACCGTCTTCCGTCACTCCCAAGCAAGATACGCGATTATCGTGGCCAGCAAGAATTCCTGTAAATGACACACGAAACTCCTCCGTAAAATACTCCATGTTGCTTCTCCTACTTTCAGCTTGTACGATTCAAAAAACAGTACTCTGAATCAATCTTCCCCACGAGATTACCAACAAATCCATGCGACGAAATGTTTTCAAAACCATGTGCGAACGTAACGAGAATTACCAAAAACCAAAGGTATAAAGAAATCAGAAAAAAAAACTAATGCCCGCGGAGAGAAGGCCTTAAAATAAAACTTCTCTTCTCTCCTGAAAAATGTGACTCCAAGAAACGTCTACGTACCAGCACGTTCAGCCCTCATAGAGTCCCATACGTTGCAGTTGAAATCGTCGTAACCGGCCAATAATAATCTGCCGCTCTTGCTGAACGCTACGCTGGTGATACCGCAAATAATATTGTCGTGACTGTACATCGCCAGCTCTTGGTCTGCCCTAATATCGAAGAGTCTGCACGTTGCGTCGTCCGAGCCCGTCGCAAAAGCGTATCCATTCGGGAAGAACTAAACAGTAAAAATAAAATGAGTACAACAGTCGAGTGCGATGAGTTCTGACCCATCTCCAAACTCAACAGAGAATATTTTAAGAAAACGATTGTGCTCTTACCGTGACAGCGTTTATATCGCTCTCATGACCAGGGAAGGTCTGCTTGCAGGTTCCTTCGCGAATATCCCACAACTTTGCGCTCGCATCGCATGCACCGGATACGAATGTGCGCGTGTCCGGTGCCAAGGATAGGGACATTACGTCGCCCGTGTGACCAATGAAGGAAGTACACTGTTGGCCAGTCTCTATATCCCACAGGGCACTGGTCAACAGTAAAATACACGGTACATTGTAACGTCCTGATACGCGCGCATTTGTAAACGAGATGCGATTACCGATTAAAGAAAGGGCGCCATAGGAACCAAGGATAAGGACAAGAAGGTGAGATATATTTTCATTCACGTCTAGCATTTTTCTAAATCGTAACAAGTTATAGTTTCAATTAGTACTCGAAAGGATCGAGTGTGCGGCCTGGAAGGAAGAAAAAAGAAAAGGTTAAATTAAACGATGCTTACCAAGTCATGTCCCCGGAACTGGTGACAATTTGGTTGTCGTCATAGAATCGACAGCACGACAAGTAACCAGTATGACCTGGTAGTTCTCTGCTAACTCTTACATTTCCTTCTCTAGTTTTCAGACTGTAGATGGAACAAATGTTGTCCAGGCCACCGCAGGCTACGTAACTACCTGATGGCGCGTACGCACAGGTCATCACCCATGAGGAGCGCAGAGGAATCGCGTGAACTTTATTGGTAGTGTAACTATCCCAAACGATCAGCTTTCCATCTTGCGACGCTGACACCAAGTTTCTATCGATCAAACGAAAGACGGACAGACTCGTTACTTGCTTATTTTTCTACGGTACATTTGGTAACACGTTTCTTGAGTATGTACCTTGAGTCACTGCCCCAATGCATCGCGTAAATCTTGGCCAAGTGACCGCGGAGCGTGCGTCTCGTGCGCATCTGTATCCGGCCAATGGCCTCCATGCCCGACGTGGCTTGAACCAACGTCGTGTCGCATGCTGCTTTCCTGGCATCCTGAGAAACAAAATTCAACATACGCATAAGATATCGAGTTTCGTTTCCCGCAAAAGAGAAAGAGCTAGTGTTTCAAGTTACTCGTTTGTCCTATTCGCGGGATAAAATAGAAAGCCATATTTTCGTCGAACGTAATATCAGGGAGGTGATATTTTAAGGGGTTAATGAATTTCGCGTGAAAATTTCGCTCGAGCTCGTGAACCCCGTCTATGAAAGGTCAAGTGTCGCGTTCGAACGAAACAGCGAAACGAGGGGAATTTTAGAAATTACGGGAATTCGAGAAAAAAGAAACTTTTAATCCATCAGACATCGTTCGTAACCTTTCGAAATAAATTAAGCTTCAAATTAATCTTTTTTGTAGTACCTGTAAATTAACGATTACTTATGAACGTTCAAGAAGAATAAAATATTACTCTTAGGCTCTGGGGTCGCTGTTGGTATTGACAAGTATCTGATTTACAATCGTTTATGCCAAAATTGGTAATAAATGTTTCGGTTTAATAACCTAATGTTTCGAGAAAACATATGGAGGATCCAGGATATGTAAGTCCTTAGTGAAATTAAAAGTTGATAAAACAAACAGACCTACACGTGTAACGAGGATAAATTATTGAAACACTCGACGAGGGTATTTAAAAACGTTCATTCTATTTATCGCAACAACGACGTGTGTTACACCGTGCACGCCTGACGATGCGTGTAATTTCACGCACACACGAACGACAGAGAAAGAGAGAAACCGACAGCGAGAAGAAACAAGATAGGAAGCAAAAGAGAGACAGAGAGAAGAATGGTGGCGTATTGATCAGAGAGAAGCGACGGTTATGCCGCACCCTACCACCACCACACACACATACACACACCACACCACTACCACCCTTCGTTTCCACCACCATACACACAGTAGAATCCACCGATTGCCATCGACGAGGATTTTCCACCGACAAACAACTTCTAATTCGCGCCAACTCCTAACTACTCCGATCGACGAGAGATCGTCCAATGATTTTTCTGGCAATTCGTTTTATTACCAGCCGAATCGTTAGATTTTCGATGAATTTTACGAGCAGTACCGAGAAAGGGACGAAAAACGAAGCTACTCCGAAAATCGAACATTAAGGATCAACGGTGTTTGTCGCTTGGCCCAATTCTAAAAAGATTTGGACAAGATAAAGCAGGGACGATCTCTTTAATACTATTTTTAGAGGGATTCTCGCTGTCGTTGTATCGAATATCGACTTTTAAGGTTGGGGAAAAGAATTGAAGTTGATATAGCTGGGAATGTTTGAAAAACCTGTTCCATGTCAAAACGATACATCTTTATATTCTTTGTGAAAAAAAATGTATTTTCAAAATTATAAATTTTTATTCTCTAAGAATGCACGATGGCAAACGTAGCTGAAAGGTATAAAATAAAATATTTTTCCTGTTTTTTGAGGAAGTACAAAAATATCAGATACATCGTCCGTCCTTCTCTTACAAAACATAACACGTTATCGATCAACAGATATCGACAAGATAGAAAAGTCGCCAAATAAAGAATAACAGAATGTATAATAAGCTTATTGTCTGCAATTTTATTACCACCTCCGCAACATCGGATATAGTAGAAAACGAAAAACAAAGAAAAAAATAAAAAAAATCGCTGACTCGTTAGAGAGAGAAAAGGGGTCGGTTGTTTAATGCCAAGTGGCACTTCGAGCCGAGTGACGCCCTAGACTTTTTTCTTTTCAGACAATGCACGCCGCTGTTGCATGTAGAACTGTTGCTTTGTCCTCGATGGTTCAGAGATTGTCGGTAAACAAAGAAAATGTACGAAGACGAGACTCGACTGTAGATTATTCTAACAACGGTTGCTCGAGTAACACCTAAAACTATAGGAAACGTTAAATTAACGCGAAACGGGTCGACGACTCAATGTCATCGTAACGCGTTATCGTGCACATGGTTCTAGATAATTTACGCGGCAGGAAATTGTCGCGATAGAGAATCCTGTCCACCGACGATATCGAACAAACTGTGCCGAAGAAAACTTACATTTTATATTATATATCGATCGAGGCTATTATTTCGTTCAAGTATAACTAGAAGGGTTATTACACGCTACAGTAGTAGGTACAGAAATAGTTTAGAGAAATGATTAACTTACTCGAATGGCATTTTTCAAAGCGTCTGCCTCCTGACGAAGGGTTTCTAATTCGCTCATGATGCCTATTGTAGCGGCGTGCCGTGAACTCGGTGAAACGTTGAATAAACGAGAAGGAGGTGGTAGTCCACCCCTCGATGAAACCTAGAACGTGGTGTCCGAGGAATTGGTTAAATTCTATCTAATTTGTCCTTTCGGTCGAAGGCAGTCGGAGCCCAGTGTCACGCCGTCGATGCTTCTTTCGGTGAACGATGGAGCAGATCCTCGAGCTTCGCACCAGCAGGAACGGGAGGATAAGACGAAAGAAGAACGAGAAGAGGATGTCCGAATCTTCTTCTGCAGCGGGTACCACCAGTCTTTCCAAGTCTTTCTCTCTGATCTGTTGCTGTCACGGCTTCCGCTTCCGCCGCTACCACCGGAACCAGAGCCAGACCACCGCCGACTCTCCCGCCCCACGCGCCAGCTTCGACACCTCCTAACGAGACCGTTGCCACCCCTGTTGACAAAATTACCCAAAATTATTTCGTTATTTTTAATCTTCAACCCTTCCGTGCTTACAGCGGAACAACATCTGGCACGTTTGTCTCTTCAGGGCGTGTATACACCTTTTCAGTAGCTGACCGTACATTATTCGGGGGCGTGGAAATACCTACGCATCGTTATGTCTAAACGTTTGCTCTTCGAAGGCGTATATGTACGATTTTGTAATTCGAGCGTCCACTCTTCGAGGACGTAAAAATACCAACACCCCTACGCCCGTCTATACGTCTACTCTTCGAGAGCGTGTAACGCGATAATCTTCGTGAACGCGATAATTTTTCAAATCGGTGAGGTCAGGGTAAAAATTTTAGAGGTTGCACGTATCATCTCTATTAACGCTTGTTTTCTACATCTCGCTGTTTTCTACGAACACCTGCGTCTGAGTAGAAACACATGCACGGTATATAATGTAACGTCTATTACATCTTTATTAATCTATTTTTACGCAAGCCTGTCACATTCGTTGACATATTTGTGTCACGGACAACGCGTTTCTTCGTTCGCGCGTCAACAAACCGTCATTAATCTTCCATCCACTGCTAGATAAGACGCGTACCGGTTTCAGTTTCTTTGAAAATTGCCTTATCAATTCTAGATTTGCCAATGTTTTATTAATTTCAAAAGAAAAACCGCGTACACGAATACCAGCTTGCGAATTTCGGAGTTAAAGCGTTATTTATGGCGATTATAAACGACTCAAAAAAATGTCTGCCATACGGTGAACGGCAACTTGTAGTTCTATTCCATGATTTCTAACCTACACGAAGCTTCTCTCTACAGGTTCGGCAGGTACTTCTTTTAGTAAGTTCATTTTTCAAGCTGCATCGGAATTTCGATGGCAACGAGCGTCCTTCACCTCCAAAAGGTCTCGCAACCCGGGGAATCCGAGGGCTGTCGATCCAACGAAAGGTGTTCTCATTTTCCGGAACCAACTGTATCTCTCAGCGCATGAGCAAGCACCGCGATTTGCGGAGTGTAATACAAGGTGTCACACAAGCATGAATCACCGAAAAAGTGTAATAATATTTCAAAATGAAAGCAACGCGTATTTAAACTCTAGGTACTCGAACTTCGATCCTTTAACCCTAACTCCACAAAACTATGCTAAGAGAACCAAGTCTCACAAACGACGAACCACTGTTAAATTTTTTGATAATACACAAACTTCTCGACACAAGTTACTTTCAATGAACACTACTAAATTTTTACGTTAATAATGTTAAAATTTGTAAGCAAAACCGACAAAGAATAGTATAAACAGTTCACACTTGCACAGCTTAAATAGCATTTTCTGACTGAGTAAAAAAGTTTGTCAAAAGATAGGCTATCAATACATTAATCCCCGAAGGGCAGAGTCAATCAACCTACGAAGTCCAAGTTCTCAAAGGGATAATTTTCATAAATTAATTAAACAATATAAATATTGGAAAATAATTAAATTTAAACTCTGAATCATAAAGCGAACGAACGGGGATTCATCAGTACCATGAATTAAGTCTGACCTAATCGTACGTATCATATTTTAGAGTTATGGAAATTAAAAGCCGTAGCACATTCACCGGCACCGATTACGAATAAACTTGTTTCGAAAGAAGCTCGAAAGAGAACGAAATAGAGATAATTCTGTCTGCCGCTTACCCGGTCCGTCCACCTTCCACTCTTGTCAAAGCGTCATGAATCTCGAGCAAACATAACCTCTCCACGAGCAAGGTCCGTAGCGAGTACAGAGGGTAACGAGCTGCCTTCTTGAACCCGTGTTCCACCGCCAGATTGCGCGGTCGAGGAAACGCCAGCACAACCAGACGTTTTTCACGGAGAAAGCCGGAAGAAAAGCACTTTTCAAACGGCACGTACACGCACACGAGAACCGGTGAAATGTACGCACTGGTGCGGGCTCTTTTCCATGCCGTGTTCAGGGAACCGTGGAGAACCGACGACGAATCGATGAACGCTCGTCGTGGCTCGCCCCACTTGGCTCTCTTTTGCACCAACACCCTCTGCTACGTCTATCGTCTCTCTCTACCCTTCGTTATTCTACTACTTCTTCGTCCGTTACTCTCCACGCTCGACGAACTCGCGTATATACGCGTACACTGGTGCGCGCGCGCCACCACGAGACGATGTATCGGGTCAGGAAACACCTTCGGAATATGCGAACACCTTGAGACTTTACAGAGGACAAGGTGATCAGGAACACGGAAGAGAGTGTCGAGAATGGACAGAACCTTGGTTACGATTTCGAACCACACCCAGGGAGGACGTGGTTTCGAGAGAATTCAATGAACACTACTAAATTTTTACGTTAATAATGTTAAAATTTGTAAGCAAAACCGACAAAGAATAGTATAAACAGTTCACACTTGCACAGCTTAAATAGCATTTTCTGACTGAGTAAAAAAGTTTGTCAAAAGATAGGCTATCAATACATTAATCCCCGAAGGGCAGAGTCAATCAACCTACGAAGTCCAAGTTCTCAAAGGGATAATTTTCATAAATTAATTAAACAATATAAATATTGGAAAATAATTAAATTTAAACTCTGAATCATAAAGCGAACGAACGGGGATTCATCAGTACCATGAATTAAGTCTGACCTAATCGTACGTATCATATTTTAGAGTTATGGAAATTAAAAGCCGTAGCACATTCACCGGCACCGATTACGAATAAACTTGTTTCGAAAGAAGCTCGAAAGAGAACGAAATAGAGATAATTCTGTCTGCCGCTTACCCGGTCCGTCCACCTTCCACTCTTGTCAAAGCGTCATGAATCTCGAGCAAACATAACCTCTCCACGAGCAAGGTCCGTAGCGAGTACAGAGGGTAACGAGCTGCCTTCTTGAACCCGTGTTCCACCGCCAGATTGCGCGGTCGAGGAAACGCCAGCACAACCAGACGTTTTTCACGGAGAAAGCCGGAAGAAAAGCACTTTTCAAACGGCACGTACACGCACACGAGAACCGGTGAAATGTACGCACTGGTGCGGGCTCTTTTCCATGCCGTGTTCAGGGAACCGTGGAGAACCGACGACGAATCGATGAACGCTCGTCGTGGCTCGCCCCACTTGGCTCTCTTTTGCACCAACACCCTCTGCTACGTCTATCGTCTCTCTCTACCCTTCGTTATTCTACTACTTCTTCGTCCGTTACTCTCCACGCTCGACGAACTCGCGTATATACGCGTACACTGGTGCGCGCGCGCCACCACGAGACGATGTATCGGGTCAGGAAACACCTTCGGAATATGCGAACACCTTGAGACTTTACAGAGGACAAGGTGATCAGGAACACGGAAGAGAGTGTCGAGAATGGACAGAACCTTGGTTACGATTTCGAACCACACCCAGGGAGGACGTGGTTTCGAGAGAACACCGGCTAGGAGAGAAGAGAAGGGATGAAAGCGACGCTGGCGCCACGGCGCCCGCGTACCGGCTCGCTGCCGGCGTCCTCGCGAACCATTCTAGGGCTCGAACCCAAGAAATAGGGAAAAAATGCAACGTGCTATGATTTTCGCTGAAAATCTCCAACCTCGTTACACTATTTTGGCGACCGTTCAAAACAGAGTATAACAAGACACGACGATGTGGTCGAATCGTAACTCAGACCCTTAGAAACCGATATCAAGGGATATGCAACACTCGGAACATCGTACTTTCACTTCCAAAGAATTTATGACTTCGCTACATCATGGCTGCGATCACCGTTGCTTATTTTAATGATCTTGACATACTATAACCGTATTTGCTAATCATTAATGATTAGCGCTAATTATTTTCTTTCTATCGTCCATCGCTGTGTAGGGTTAATAAGGAGGGAGAAGCAATTAGGAACAGCTACTCCCATCGAAAACGTTTCAGCTGCCTACTCGCGCAACACGTAATGAATATTTTGATAGCACCGAGATAGGGTACAGTCGATACGATCGAAAATTGGATGTACTGGCTCGGTTTCGTTTCGTTTTGTCGGCTCGGAAAGTTCCCATCTAGTCGAGTCGGTAGATTATACGGAAATATCCGCAGGTTAGGTTAAGATTTAGTTAATCCAACACAGAACGTCTAACTGGATATCTATTTCTAGACTGACCCATTTCTATTGGACATTTTTACGTCCATGTCATGTTCGTCTTCGTTATTCGCATGTTACAGATAATATCAAACGTTATCTATAATTCGACGTATCAAAGGCAACTGTAGCACGTGAAGTACTACAAAATTCTATTAAACTTCGCGAGAGTGGCACAAAGTATCGACCATAGACGAAACGCTTAATAATTCTTAAGAAACGAAAACGTGTTGCAAATTTCAAACCTTAACGATCTTTCGAAATAACGTTATACCACGAGTTACGGCGTTCCTCGACTAAGATCGCGCGTTGTCGAGCGATGTATCATCGCTTTAATAAACCTCAATGATAATCGTTCAAAAGATCCGAAGAACACGCGATTAATGAAGTAGAACGTCTTCGTTAAACTCAACATAGAAAATCTGCTGACTCGACCGTGTTCGACCTACATCCCATTTATCAGTCTTATCAAGGGAGAATTCAGAGAAACGCTTCCCGGCATGCAGTATGATGCTCGATCGAATATGAAGCGCAATTATTTTCTACTTGTTGTCGCAACCACTTGGAAAAATAATAATTCAGCTGTCGGTAATCGATGGCAAAATCGATTTAAGCGCGAATCCGTTGCTCCCGTTATTTCAAAAGCGTTCAAGGACGGAAAGAGAGTTTGGACGCGCGTAACAGAAGACTCTTCTATCATTCGGGATCCCCTAGATCTTCCTACACGCGTTCCCGGATGCACGAATGGGAGCAACAGTTGAACCACGCGGGTCAACGTCCAATACGATCTCTCCCTCTCTCGCTCTCTGCCCATCTGCTGGCTGTATATAACCACGAGGCTGCCAAGTACCTCACACCAAGTGTGCACTTCGACCAAGTCCCTGGCTCGACCCAAC